ATCACGGGCTCTGCAAGAGATGCACAGAAGCATGAGTGGAGCCACAACCCCGATGGCAGAGGGGATCCCTGAAGTCCCAGCCTGTGCTACTGACCATCAGAGCGAGCCAGAGCACCGAGCAGACCCAGTGCTGCCACGCGTCCAGCCTCCCAGTCCTCGCCCAGCTGTGACTGCAGAAACAGGACCATTTCCTCTGGGCAGATCCGGGCTGCAGGGAGGAAATCCCACAATATGTTAGCAAGAAACTCACGCCCATTCCTGAGGTTTGTGAGAGAGGCCCTTTTGGCAAGGGCACTGCAGGTATTGCCAAAGCTCCTCTCCTTACCCTGCAGCAGGATGCAGTGGGTCAGCTCCGCACGATCAGCCTCGCTGTGCTGCTTGGTGTTGTCATAGAGCTGTGGGAACAAAGTCCATATGAGAAAATCACATCAGCACTGAGGACGGAAAAGACGCTGTGCTGCTGCTCTCGTCTCCCTGGGCACTCTCAGGAAGAGGACAGGCAGACAAAACCCAGCCTGCCTCACAGAATCCCCGGGGGGACAGGCACGGCTCTGGAACAGCCATGAGCATGCAGGAGCCAAGGCTCAGCTGCATTAGTCAGGGGCTCAGACCTTTGCACTCCTCCTGAGACTTAGGCAAGAGGGAAACTGCTGTGGGCACAGGGATAGGCTCCCCTTACCTGGTAGAACACGGCACTCATGATGTCCAGAAACTTGTCCTTCTGGATGACAGACTCAATGCCCTCTAAGGCCTCCAGGAAGACAGTGAGGCTCTGCAAGAGACCAGGAGAGGAAGAAAGGGATGAAGCCACATCTAGTCACTTGGGAGTGGAGAAACTGCTTCCCAATTGTTTCTCCGCAGGGAGAAGCTCCTGCACAGGCATTCTTGTTTGTCCCCCACCTCCCAGCAGCACTGAGAGTCTCTCTGCTCTCAGTCGAGCCATGTTTGGGCATCATTTGCAGGCACTTTCCACCCGGCAGCCCTCTTCTCCCCCATCAGATGCAACTGGATGTTGTCCCCCAGTTGCTAGCACAGAGTTCCTCAGGCTCTCA